TTAGGGATTTGGGCAATTTGCGATCAAAATGGGCAATTCGGGGGCAAAACTGGCAATTTTAGTCAAAAATGAGAAAATTGGGGTGAGAAGAGCCAAATTTTGGGGCTTAAAGGGGAATTTTAGGGGAAAAGAGGAGAAAAATCGGGAGAAATTTGGAATTTTGGGGGAATTTGGGGCAAAATGGCCGAGTTTTGGACAAAAGGGGACAATTGGAGGGTCAAAATCGACAATTTGGGGGGAAAAAATGTGAAATTTGGGGCAAAATGTTTAATTTTTTTGGCTAAAAGTGACGATTTTGGTATCGAAATGGGTAATTCGGGGGTAAAAATGGAGAAATTTGGGTTAAAACGGGAGATTAGGGGAAGATTTGAAGTCAAAAAGGGGAATTTTGGGGTAAAAGGGTGAAGTTTTGGGCAGAAAGGGACGATTTTTGGGTCAAAAATGGGGTTTTTTGGGAAAATTTGGGGTCAAAATGGGGAATTTGGGGTCAAAAAACTCATTTTTTTTAGACTAAAATGGGGAATTTGGGGTGAATTCAGAGATCAAAATGAATTTGAGAGCAAAAGGGACAAATTTGGGTCGAAAAAAATGACAATTTGAGGTAAAAACGGGAAATTTGTGGGCAAAAGGGGCAATTTTGGGACTAAAAGGGAGGGTTTGGGGATCAAAATTCGATTTTGGGGTCAAAATGGGGAATTTGGGGTAAAATTGGTTTTAAAACAGGAGATTTGGGGGGATTTGGGGATCAAAATGGGTGAATTTGGGGCAGAATGATCAATTTTTGAACTGAACTGGAGAAATTTGGGTCAAAAAGGGAACTTTGGGGACAGTTTTGGGGTCAAATTGGGAAATTTGGGGCAAAATAAGTGAATTCTGGAATAAAATTTAGAGCTTTGGGTCAAAATGGACAATTTGGGGACAAAAGGGTCTTTTTTTGGGCTAAAATGGGAAAATTTGGGTTAAAATGGGAAATTTGAAGGCAGTTTTGGGATCAAAGTGAGGAATTTGGGATTAAAATGGGAATTTTTGGGTTAAAATGGGAAAATTTGGGTTAAAATGGGAAAATTTGGGTTAAAATGGGAAATTTGAAGGCGGTTTTGGGATTAAAATGGGAAAATTTGGGTTAAAATGGGAAATTTGAAAGCGGTTTTGGGATTAAAATGGGAAAATTTGGGTTAAAATGGGAAAATTTGGGTTAAAATGGGAAAATTTGGGTTAAAATGGGAAAATTTGGGTTAAAATGGGAAATTTGAAGGCGGTTTTGGGATCAAAGTGGGGAATTGGGATTAAAATGGGAAATTTTGGATTAAAATGGGAAAATTTGGGATTAAAATGGGAAAATTTGGGTTAAAATGGGAAAATTTGGGTTAAAATGGGAAATTTGAAGTCGGTTTTGGGATCAAAGTGGGGAAATTTGGGATTAAAATGGGAAAATTTGGGTTAAAATGGGAAATTTGAAGGCGGTTTTGGGATCAAAGTGGGGGAATTTGGGATTAAAATGGGAAAATTTGGGTTAAAATGGGAAAATTTGGGTTAAAATGGGAAATTTGAAGGCAGTTTTGGGATCAAAGTTGGGAATTTGGGATTAAAATGGGAAAATTTGGGTTAAAATGGGAAAATTTGGGTTAAAATGGGAAAATTTGGGTTAAAATGGGAAATTTGAAGGCGGTTTTGGGATCAAAGTGGGGAATTTGGGATTAAAATGGGGAAATTTGGGATTAAAATGGGAAAATTTGGGTTAAAATGGGAAATTTGAAGGTGGTTTTGGGATCAAAGTGGGGAATTTGGGATTAAAATGGGAAAATTTGGGTTAAAATGGGAAATTTGAAGGCGGTTTTGGGATCAAAGTGGGGAATTTAGGATTAAAATGGGGAAATTTGGGTTAAAATGGGAAAATTTGGGTTAAAATGGGAAATTTGAAGGCGGTTTTGGGATCAAAGTGGGGAATTTGGGTTAAAATGGGAAAATTTGGGTTAAAATGGGAAATTTGAAGGCGGTTTTGGGATCAAAGTGGGAAATTTGGGATTAAAATGGGAAAATTTGGGATTAAAATGGGAAAATTTGGGTTAAAATAGGAAAATTTGGGTTAAAATGGGAAATTTGAAGTGGGTTTTGGGATTAAAATGGGAAAATTTGGGTTAAAATGGGAAAATTTGGGATGAAATGGGAAAATTTGGGTTAAAATGGGAAATTTGAAGGCGGTTTTGGGATCAAAGTGGGGAATTTGGGATTAAAATGGGAAAATTTGGGATAAAATGGGAAAATTTGGGTTAAAATGGGAAAATTTGGGATTAAAATGGGAAAATTTGGGTTAAAATGGGAAATTTGAAGGCAGTTTTGGGATCAAAGTGGGGGATTTGGGATTAAAATGGGAAAATTTGGGTTAAAATGGGAAATTTGGGTTAAAATGGGAAATTTGAAGGCAGTTTTGGGATCAAAGTGGGGAATTTGGGATTAAAATGGGAAAATTTGGGTTAAAATGGGAAAATTTGGGTTAAAATGGGAAATTTGAAGGCGGTTTTGGGATCAAAGTGGGGGAATTTGGGATTAAAATGGGAAATTTGGGGTCAAAACCAGAAGTTTTGGACTAAAATAGAGAAATTTGGGTTAAATTTGTTGGTTTGGGGGCAGAATTTTCGATTTTTGGACTGACAGGGAAATTTTAGGGTTAAAATGGGCGATTTTGGGGGTGGGGTCAAACTCCTCCCCTCCCCCACTGACCCCGCCTCTTCCGGCACAGACAAGCAGCCAATAGGAGCCCGAGGAGCAGCGAGGCCACGCCCACTGAGGTGCCGACGACCAATGGGAGGAGCTCGAACTGAGCTGAGGGTGAGAAACCCCCCCCAAAAAAACTGGGTCAATAAATACCCAAAAACCCCCAAAACTGCCCCAAAAATCCTCCTGGATCAGCAAAAAAACCCCAAAATCCCCAAAAATTTACTCAAAAAAATCACTTGGGGTCAGCGAATTCTCAAAAAATCTGAATTTTCACCCCCCAAAAAAATCCCTGGGTCAGGAAATATCCTAAAAACCCCAAAATCGACCCCAAAAAAAACCTTGGGTCAGCAAATTTCCTGCTAAAAAAAAAAACAAATAAAAATAATAAAAAATAAAGCCTAAAAAAACCCCAAATCCTCCCAAACTTCCCCCAAAACCTCTTAAAATCTCGCTCCAAAAAATCCCCAAATCCCCAGAGGTCAATGAAAAACCCCAAAAATTCCCCTAAAAGGTTCCAGATCCACAAAGCCTCCTCAAAAACCCCTAAAACCCCCAAAATCTCACCCCCAAAACCAACCCCTGGGTCAGCAAACACCCCAAAAACCCCAAAATCACCCCAAAAACCAACCCCAGGGTCAGCAAACACCCCAAAAACCCCAAAACCACCCCAAAAACCCCAAAACCACCCCAAAACCACCCCAAAACCCAACCCCAGGGTCACCAAACGCCCCAAAAACCCCAAAATCACCCCAAAAACCCAAAAACCACCTCAAAAACCAACCCCAGGGTCAGCAAACACCCCAAAAACCACAAATCACCCCAAAAACCCCAAAACCACAACAAAAAAACCCAAAACCACCCCAAAAAACAGTCCCAAGGACACCAAAAACCCCAAAAACCCCAAAACCACCCCAAAAAATCACTCTGGGTCAGCAAACACCCCAAAAACCCNCCCGGGAAATCCGCGGGAAAAGCAGCTCGGAGCCGTCCCCGCCGATGACGTCACCGATGACGTCACCGGCGCCCGGCGTCACCTCGGCGCCGTCGCGGAAGAAGCGGAAGCGGCGCCGGAAGTCGTTGCGGGGCGCGGCGCAGGTCAGGCGCAGCCGGTGGCCGGTGGCCACCACGCCCGAGAGCGGCTCCACGGACAGGACGGGAGGAGGACACGGATCTGGGGTGGGGGGAAAACAAAAAGAAATCGGGGAAAATCCTCGGAATCGTCGATTTTTTTCCCGCCCGGGTGGGATTTGTGGGAAAAAGGACGAAAAATGACCCAAAAATTCGATGTTTTGGAGGTGGGAATGGAGAAGATGGAGAAGAATCACAAGGTTTTTCCCAAAATCCCGATTTTTTGGGGGGCTGGAGGATGTTTGGAACCACCCAGATGGTTCTGGAGGTGCCACCATGACCCTGGTCAGGTTGGGCTCAGATTGGGTCAAAAACTCTAAAAATGGTCCAAAAATGACCGTTTTTGGGACTGGAAGAGGTGGGAATGGAGAAGATGGAGAAGAACCACAAGGTTTTTCCCAAAATCCCGATTTTTTTTGGCCAAGAGGACATTGGGAACCACCCAGATGGTTCTGGAGGTGCCACCATGATCCTGGTCGGGTTGTGATTGGATTTGAGCCAAAAAAAGGCTGAAAATGGTCCAAAAATGAACATTTTTGGGACTGGAAGAGGTGGGAATGGAGAAGATGGAGAAGAACCATCCGGTTTTTCCCAAAATCCCAATTTTTTTGGCCAAGAGGACATTGGGAACCACCCAGATGGTTCTGGAGGTGCCACCATGAGTTTGGTCAGGTTGTGATTGGATTTGGGCCAAAAAAAGGCTAAAAATGGTCCGAAAATGAACATTTTTGGGACTGGATGAGGTGGAAATGGAGAAGATGGAGAAGAACCACAAGGTTTTTCCCAAAATCCCAATTTTTTTGGCCAAGAGGACATTGGGAACCACCCAGATGGTTCTGGAGATACCACCATGATCCTGGTCAGGTTGTGATTGGATTTGGGCCAAAAACAGCTAAAAATGGTCCAAAAATGAACATTTTTGGGAATGCATGAGGTGGGTATGGAGAAGATGGAGAAGAACCACAAGGTTTTTCCCAAAATCCCGATTTTTTTGGCCAAGAGGACATTGGGAACCACCCAGATGGTTCTGGAGATGCCACCTTGATCCTGTTTGGGTTGGGCTCAGATTGGGTCAAAAACAGCTAAAAATGGTCCAAAAATGAACATTTTTGGGTCTGGATGAGGTGGGAATGGAGAAGATAGAGAAGAACCACAAGGTTTTTCCCAAAATCCTCATTTTTTTGGCCAAGAGGACATTGGGAGACACCCAGATGGTTCTGGAGGTGCCACCATGACCCTGGTCGGGTTGGGCTCGGATTGGGTCAAAAACAGCTAAAAATGGTCCAAAAATGAACATTTTTGGGACTGGATGAGGTGGGAATGGAGAAGATGGAGAAGAACCACAAGGTTTTTCCCAAAATCCCAATTTTTTTTCAGCTGGAAGATGTTTGGAACCACCCAGATGGTTCTGGAGGTGCCACCATGACCCTGGTCAGGTTGGACTTGGATTTGGGTCAAAAACAGCTAAAAATGGTCCAAAAATGAACATTTTTGGGACTGGATGAGGTGGAAATGGAGAAGATGGAGAAAAACCACAAGGTTTTTCCCAAAATCCCAATTTTTTTGGCCAAGAGGACATTGGGAACCACCCAGATGGTTCTGGAGATGCCACCATGACCCTGGTCAGGTTGTGATTGGATTTGGGCCAAAAACAGCTAAAAATGGTCCAAAAATGAACATTTTTGGGACTGGAAGAGGTGGGAATGGAGAAGATGGAGAAGAACCACAAGGTTTTTCCCAAAATCCCAATTTTTTTTGGCCAAGAGGACATTGGGAACCACCCAGATGGTTCTGGAGATGCCACCATGATCCTGGTTGGGTCAGAATTGGGTAAAAAATGCCTAAAATTGGCCCAAAATTCAATGTATTGGAGGTGGGAATGGACAAAATGGAGAAGAAGCTCCCAAAATTTCCTCAAAATCTCAATTTTTGTCAATTGGAGAAGGTTGAGGTCCATCCAGAGAGTCCTGGAGGTTCCACCATGAGTTTGGTTGGGTTGGGATTGGATTGGGTCAAAAATGGATTAAAAATGGACCCTGAAATCTCAATGTTTGGGAAAAAATGGGGAAAACCCATTGAAATTGTAATTTTTGGATATTCAGGAGGAGATTTGGGGTCATGACCCCACCAAACCCAACCCTGACCCAACCAAACCCAACCAAACCCAACCAAACCCAACCAAACCCAACCAAACCCAACCAAACCCAACCATGACCCAACCAAACCCAACCAAACCCAACCAAACCCAACCAAACCCAACCAAACCCAACCAAACCAACCCTGACCCAACCAAACCCCACCAAACCCAACCAAACCCAACCCTGACCCAACCAAACCCAACCAAACCCAACCCTGACCCAACCAAACCCAACCAAACCCAACCAAACCCAACCAAACCCAACCAAACCAAACCCAACCCTGACCCAACCAAACCCAACCAAACCCAACCAAACCCAACCAAACCCAACCAAACCCAACCATGACCCCACCAAACCCAACCAAACCCAACCAGACCCAACCATGACCCCACCATGACCTCACCAAACCCAACCAAACCCAACCAAACACAACCAAACCCAACCAAACCCAACCAAACCCAAACCAAACCCAACCAAACCCAACCAAACCCAACCCTGACCCAACCAAACCCAACCATGACCCAACCAAACCCAACCAAACCCCACCAAACCCAACCCTGACCCCACCAAACCCCACCAAACCCAACCAAACCCAACCAAACCCAACCAAACCCAACCAAACCCCACCAAACCCAACCAAACCCAACCAAACCCAACAAAACCCAACCATGACCACACCATGACCCCCCATGACCCAACCAAACCCCACCAAACCCAACCAAACCCAACCAAACCCAACCAAACCCAACCAAACCCAACCAAACCCCACCAAACCCAACCAAACCCAACCAAACCCAACCAAACCCAAACCAAACCCAACCAAACCCAACCAAACCCAACCAAACCCAACCACGACCCAACATCATCACCTCAACCTCCTCCAAACCCAACCCTGAGGTGTCTCCATGCCCCAATATCCTGGATTTTCCCCCCAAAATCACCTTTGACGATGACCTGGACGGCGTCGCTGGGGTAGGACGCGATCCACCGGCCCTCGGTCATCTCCTCGTAGCGGCAGCTGAAGTTCCCCGTCTGGTTCTGGCCGCTCTTCTCCACCCTCAGCCGGACACCAGAACTTCCAGAACCTTCCCAGATCCCAGCGGTGACCTCCAGGTCCTCCTGGAAGATCCCAAATCTCCTCTCGGCATCGCCGGGCGGCGCCTGGCAGGAGAAGACCAGGGGCTGCCCTTCCACGGTGATGCTGGAGGGCGTCACTGTCAGCCTGGGTGGGGTTGGACGATCTGGTGGGAGGAGAAGACACAAAGTCAACGTTGGATCTCAACAAGGAGGAGTTTTGGGGAGAAAAGCGGCCAAATTGGACCAAAACTCAACGTTGGGATGGATTTTGGATGGAAAAAATTCTCCAGGTTGGTGGAAAAGTCAACTTAGGGTGGAAGAGTCAATGATGGATCTCATCAGGGATGGATTTTGGGATAAAAACGCCCCAAATCAGCCAAAACGTCAACGTTTTGGTCAACTGGGATGAATTTTGGGGATAAAAATGCCCCAGTTTGGTGGAAAAGTCAATGTTGGACGTCAATGAGGATGAATTTTGGGAGAAAATCACCCCTTTGGACCAAAACGCAGAATTTTGGTCAATTTCAGATAAATTTTGGGATAAAAATGCCGAAATTGGACACAAAATCCAACATTTTTGGTCAATTTGAGATAAATTTTGGGATAAAAACTCCTCAAATCCCAAGATTTTGGCCAATCTGAGATAAATTTTGGGATAAAAATACCCCAAATCCCAAAATTTTGGTCAATTTGAGATATATTTTGGGATCAAAATGCCCCAGTTGGACACAAAATCCAAAATTTTGGTCAATTTGAGATAAATTTTGGGATAAAAACATCTCAAATCCCAAAATTTTGGCCTATTTGAGATAAATTTTTGCATCAAAACCATCCCAAATCCCCAAATTTTGGCCAACAGGGGCAAATTTTGGGATCAAAACCACCCAAAATCCAAAATTTTGGCCAATTTGAGATAAATTTTGGGATAAAACCACCCCAAATCCCCAAATTTTGGTCAAAAAGGACAAATTTTGGGATCAAAATGCCCAAATTGGACACAAAATCCAAAATTTTGGTCAATTTGAGACAAAATTTGCAATAAAACCACCCCAAATCCCAAAATTTTGTCCAATTTGAGATCAATTTTGGGATAAAAATGCCCCAAATCCCAACATTTTGGCCAATTTGAGATCAATTTTGGGATAAAAATGAACAAATCCCAACATTTTGGCCAATTTGAGATCAATTTTGGGATAAAAATGCTCAAATTGGACATAAAATCCAAAATTTTGGTCAATTTGAGACAAATTTTGGGATCAAACCACCCAAAATCCCAAAATTTTGTCCAATTTGAGATAAATTTTGGGATAAAAAGTCCCCAAAATCCAAAATTTTGGTCAATTTGAGTCAAATTTTGGGATAAAAATGCCAAAATTGGACACAAATTCCAACATTTTGATCAAAAAGGACAAATTTTGGGATAAAAACCACCCAAACCCCAAAATTTTGTCCAATTTGAGACAAATTTTGGGATAAAAAGTCCCCAAATCCCAAAATTTTGATCAAAAAGGACAAATTTTGGTACCAAAACCCCCCAAAATCCAAAATTTTGTCCAATTTGAGCTAAATTTTGGGATCAAACCACCCCAAAATCCAAAATTTTGGTCACTTTGAGACAAATTTTGGGATCAAAAAGCCCAAATTGGACACAAATTCCAACATTTTTGGTCAAAAAGGACAAATTTTGGGATCAAAACCCCCCAAATCCCAAAATTTTTTCACTTTCAGATCAATTTTAGGATAAAAATGCCCCAAATCCCAACATTTTGTCCAATTTGAGATAAATTTTGGGATAAAAATGCTCAAATTGGACACAAAATCCAAAATTTTGGTCAATTTGAGATAAATTTTGGGATCAAAGGTCCCCAAATACCAACATTTTGGTCAAAAATGACAAATTTTGGGATCAAAAATGCCAAAATTGGACACAAATTCCAACATTTTGGTCAATTTGAGACAAATTTTGGGATAAAAAGTTCCCA